AACACCACCATTCCAAAGAACAAGAGATCATTGAGTTCTAAATCCAACTCCACAAAGGCTGAAACTCAAGAAAATGTCAAGATAATTGAAAATGGAGAATCTGGGGTTGCAGAAACTGTGAAAACAAGTGAAAAAGTGGAGGCTGCAGAGGTAATTGCACCAAAAGTTGTGGCTAAGGAAGAAGCTAAAGTTATAACATCTGAGAAGAAAGAAGAAAAGGTGGAAATGGAAAAAGTGACAGAGGAGTTGAAAACAGAAGGGGTTGTTGTTGAAAAGAAAGAAGAAAAAGTTGTTGCAGAATCTCAACCTGAGGAGAAGAAGAATATTGGAAATGAAGAAACAACCCCTGTTGTTGTTGTTGCTGCTGCTGATGTTGTAGAGAAGAAAGAATCAGCTGAAGAGATCAAAGCAGAAGAGAAAACTGGTATGTTGATTGTCACCTTGTAGTTTTGTGTGGTCTGTAGGAAAAAAAGAAACTTTTTTTGCTTCCAAAATTCAAGAAATTCATTTTATGATTTTAAATTGTTTCCTATGGTTTAAAGTTGGAGCAACGTCAAAGTTGTCTCCCGCTAATCTATAAGGCACGAGTTCGAGCCGTGGAACCAGTCATTAATACTTGCATTAGGGTATGTTCTCTATATCACACTCCTTGGGTGTGTCCATTCCCTATACCATGTGTGAACACAGGATGCCTTGTACATCGGGTTGCCATTTTTGCCTCCTATGGTTTAAAATGCAAAAGTTGGTAATTTTCAATAATTTTTTTATTGAAATCTTGAAGTTTATTTTTCATATTAATATGTAAATCACTGTGTGGTCTTTACATATTCAAGATGACAATGCACTTTAGTTTCATTGCGCAACCACATGCACAAGTATTTTGTATTTACACAGGGTTTGGCAAAGGACCGTAATTCAATTATGTGATTTAGACAGTCTACCCTAATCAAAACATTAGTGACTCCTTTCACGGCTCGAAACCGTAACCTATAGGTTACACGTGAGATAAATTTACCGTTGCTCCAAGGCTCCGCTTCTACACTTTAGTTTCATTATTAGATTGTATTGATTAAACCTAAAGAATAAGATTTTATTGGTGTTAAGGTTAAGACAGTGTAGGTTTTGCAGGCCTACACAGCATAGAAAATTGTGCTTTACCAGGGTAAAGCAACAAGGGGAAGACAATGGATTATGTATTTATGTTTGACTAAAAAATTGAACTTGTTTATCTCCTTTCTTTCTTTCTTTTTTCCCCCTTGTTGATGTTAACATGCATATCTTTTTAACCCACAGAGGAGACCATTAAGCCAACTGAAGAAGAGAAAGAGAAGGAAGAAGTTACTACTTCTGAGGCTAAAGATGCTGCTAAACCAGAGACAGAGGAAAAGCCAAAAGAGGTATGAGAATTCTCAGATTCCCATTATTGAAATGTAAAAATGTTAGAACCCCTTAATAAATGTTTCAGAAATAAAGTTCTTATGCTAATAAAATTTCTTCTTCAAAATGTCTTATTCCCACATTCATAATGTTAGCAGTTGGCCAGTTGTTGATTGAAAAAAATCTTTTATTTGGATTTTGCAGGAGAATGCAACTGAAACACCAACAACTACAGATTCGAAAACAGATTGAAAATGCATGCATGGGAATGTCGAAGAGGGATGTTTACTTAGTTTAATCCTTGTTTTTTAAAGCCTGTTCTACTTTCTAGTATTCAGTATACATATTTGTTCTGTTTTCGAATTGGCTGATATACTACTCTGTTCTTCTTATCCCTTTTCATCAAAATCTGCTTCTCTTCTTTATTGTGATGGGGATTTCTTTCAGTCTAAGTTACAAATACATTGGAGAAAATTCGTAATTTTGTTCTGTTGGTCTCCTTGACATTATCAAGAAGCTCCACCAACCCTTTTATAAAATTAAATATTGTTTCCTTCATCCCGTTTTATATAATCTGTATTAATCTGAATATGAAGTTTAACATGTTAGTATGAACTATACATCATGTGAGTGCCGGTTAAGGAACTAAAGTTTGTTTGATATACTAGTAGAAAACACCACGTCAATGTTTAATTTAAATAATTTAATGAATTTAAATTCTAGAAGCTAGAAAGTAGTATATAAAAATGGAACAAGCTAACATTTTTTGACGCATCAAAAAAAAAAAAAAAAAAGAGTACGTCANGTTTGATATACTAGTAGAAAACACCACGTCAATGTTTAATTTAAATAATTTAATGAATTTAAATTCTAGAAGCTAGAAAGTAGTATATAAAAATGGAACAAGCTAACATTTTTTGACGCATCAAAAAAAAAAAAAAAAAAAGAGTACGTCATACAAATTGAAATGGAGGGAGAAAGAGAGACATAAATTAAATGGAACATTGCCGCGTTGAGCGAAGAATAGGAGTACTTCGTATTGAGACACTGTGGAAAAAAACATGTAATATATACATGAAATTGTATCGACTTATTTAAAAATAGCTGACTAAACTCTCCCATACCTTATCCTCGCCCAGAGAAAGAAATTAAACAATGGAGTAGATAAAATGGGTATTTCAGACTCGGACATTCGAACCGTCAATCTTGAAATAGATGCTCAAATAAAAAACAACGGCATTCCCTTAGGCAAACAAAAATTACAACCACGAGCTTTAGTAATTGGAGAGCATCATTAGCCTATACCACAACTTTCAGTGATTGGAAATTCAATTTTGCCATTTCCTAAGGAGCAGATAGCTACTTCAAAGAATTAACAGAATATATTATCATAATATGATTAGTAATACTTAAATCTCTTTTTATTTACATGGATGAGCTGTACAAAATAATAAAAAGAAAGATTAAAAAAGTTAACGAAAAGGAACTATATACATGACGTCCTCCCCAGCCAAGGAAAAAACTGCACAATTAGCAATTTCCACTTTAAGCCTTAAGTTGGGAAACTCTGCTTCAACTCTCCCAGATTTTAGGGAGTCAAGTGGTAATCCCAATGAAACTCTATACTGATCTCCCTTCCTCACTAGACTCCACATTCATTCTCAAAACAGAAGAAGATATATCTCTGGAGAAGATGACATTTCCGTCGCTGTCTAATGTGCGGTACGCCGCTAGGCCATTATCCATCACGATTCTGCATCCCGCTGATACATCACATGCTAATTTTACACCATAATATCTTAAATGATCCGAAATACTGTTACCACTCACCGACCTACATAGATTTATCAAGTTAGAAAGAGACCAATAGACCTAGAAAAACTCAGGCAGTCATCTATTACTGTTAAGACGATTAAGGAGGGGAAGCCGCACAATGGCGAAGCCACCTTTGTCCAAGTGATGGCAAATTGACACCCCTTTGACGGAAAATTATACTGTGTAACTAGGTAAAACTTCTTTTAATGGATTTATATTATAATGTTCAATCCCATTGGCTTCTTTGAGTGTTTACTTTTTAATATTTTGACTCCCCTTAGTATAAATCCTGACTCCGCCACTGCAGCCGGTAGGTGTTCCTTGTCATAATATTCTTTGATCTCAACTTACCAGCAAGGTTATAGATTCCTTTCATTGTGACGTGGTTCATCAGTAAAATCACCACTACCATGTCATGTTCCATTTGAAGTTCTTTGGATAAACTTCAAAACAAAGAAACCACTTCTACTCAATTTTCTGCAGAGTGACTTGTCTCCTATCGAATATCAGTGTGTTTTATGGTTTCACTTTCTTGATTTGTTATCAACAAAAGAAGAGCGAGAGAGACTCCTCTCGCATCATCACAGTTTTGCGCGCTTGAGTACAGCTTCAAAACAAATCTTTTTTAAAATTTAGTGTTAAGGTAACTTTCCTCTTTTTTCCCGAATTATTTTTCTCCTTTGGTAAGTGAAATTCGTGTGATGTATCGGCATTTTGACATGATGTTTTATAGAGTGCAAGAGGGGTTTCTTTTTATTTTATCGGGTAAGAGGGATTCAAGCGTGCCCTTAACTGGTTATGATTTACCAAACATTTTCCACGGTTCAGATTGTAGTTTTACTTAAATCTAACGAACAAGTAAATCAATTTGAAGAAATCCAGTGCAGATATTTCTGCTGAGCACGTGAAAGAGAAACTTTACCTGCTGCAAGAAGGGTCCTCCCCAGAATTATCACAGACCTTTTCAACTGTATAAACTAGACTTCCAAAGCCAAGATCATAAAGCCACACCTGCAATTTGAAGATCTCACAAGGTCAATTTATGCAACCAGAAACCAGGACAGCAAGAGGCACATCACTTGGATCTGTCTAAACATACTTTGAATGCTTTCAATGAGAAACACTATCACCATGAGGCTTTATCGCAAGAAACATATTAATGCAGACATTGCAACCAAAAAAACAAAAAAGAGTCATTGATGCGCTTCCATTTTTAATAAACTCATTGATTTATTTCAACGTATTCTAGTGGAGTATGAGATAACTTAACAAAATAACCAATGAATGGAAAAATGATACTCCCCATCCTTTATTATATGACAATATTTGAGTGAACACAGAATTAAGTTTATTATCTGTAAGGATGGAAGTAGTAAAATGGTTGAAAGTTGGTTAATGGAGAAATGATCACATCAACATGTAAATTTGATAGCTAGATGAATTTAAATTCTTGAAATTTGAATTTTTAGAAAAGCCCGCAGCACCGAACTCAAGACATTCAATGTAAAAGAATACAGCTGCCTCATACGTTGCAACTTTCGTGCACCTAATGACATTGTTAGACTTATGCAGTTCAAAGGTATTGAGTTGCAGTAAAAGAACTTGCCTCTCTAGGGAAATGACGATAAGTTTTCTGAGGGAAATAACGATAGTAAGGGGGCAAATGAGGCACAATGTCATGACCGTTTGTAACACGAATTGTATTGGGCACCCGTTTACTATAGTAGGACGCAAAAGCAGCGTTGCCAATTCGTGGTTGTCCAAAAGTCATAACCGAAATATTTTGGCATCCAAGATGAACCTGAATGAGAAGATAAATCCATTAACTGCAAGTTAGAGATACTTTCTTGCATTATATCAAGAAGTCCACAAGAAACATGTAATATTCCTACTTTTGTCGAGAAAAATGCATGCATCAGTTGGTAATGATATGCAAGACCGATGATATTTAAGAATGGATTTCTCTCTTTAAATGGCAAGTCAAAACAGGTAGACAATGATTTTTTACAAAAATAGCGGTAAGTCTTTAGTGCATACCCTGAGATCCAGGGCACAGAAAGCAGCCATAGCCCCTCCCATTGAGTGCCCGGTCACTATAATTTGAATATCTCCATACAACTCTTTCGCCCTTTTGACAGCATTTAAAACTCCTGGGCGGATTGTCGTGTTGTGGTAAGAAGAATAAAACCCATGATGCACCTGAGAGAGACAGAGATGACTGATATGCAGAAAGGAAGGTTAAAAGACAAGAAACACTGAGAAGAGATTTGGTGTCGTACACGCACCATTGCCCCTTCCACTCCTGGATAATCTATATCAAGCTGCTTCCAGTATAGATCTTCAATCCAATTCTGTAGGCTGCAACCAAAAAATCCACACTTGACTTCAGTATCAAATATTGTTGAATCACAGAGACCATATACTTCATTCCCATACAGTACGTTAGATAACCCATATTACATCACAACCGCGAGCAGATTGATCAGAGGTTATTGGATTTTAAACGTGGTCAAATTGAACAACAGACAAAGGTAAAGTCTTAACTTAACATTTCATAACTTAGACCTGAAGGCTCTACTCAGCTTCTTATTGACTCCCCTTTATTGTATTGTCCCAGACAGAAAGTAATAGAGTTCTGTAGTTTTCACATGAAGATCCAATCAGCTTCACTACTTCCTAATCATAGTCTATGATGGTCAAAGGCTCCATTCACTCTCCTCAACAAAGTTTGAAACCAAAATCAGAACCAGTTATAGAATAATTATCACTAGCCAAGCACACAAGTACCTTAGCCCCTAGAAAATTCTAATCAACTAGTCTTATTAGAAAGCAACACTTCGCTGCTCAAAGCGAGGAAGCAGTGCGAGCTTGATTCACTTCACGAAAGAAGCCATTACAGAAGTGTGCACTTCAAACAAACAACACGTAAAGTGATCTCAACGAGAAGCAGTCGGCTCTTTGAATCTCAACTTTGATTCGCTTCATGCAGAAGCCATATGCTTTAGAGAAGTGACACTTAAAGTGATCTCAACGAGAAGCGGTCGGCTCTTTGAATCTCAACCTTGAAAAGTTGGATTAATATCAACATTATTGTATATTGGATGCTGAAATTAGTTAATATGAGGTGCCTGAAGTGAAAGAACAATACCCGTAATTGACATTTCTTCTACTAATAAAAATGTCTCCAAAAATTTGAAATAAACAGAGAAAGGCCGAAAAAACCTAGAAAAATGGGCAATTTTAGGTTGTTTGGCTCATGTTTTGCTTGTATGGAAAATCTTCACATAATTTTGGGATTCTCCAACATGCGCACATGATGTGGTTTGCTAAAATGAGCTTCAACAACTAAATTACCAAACATCTTGCTACAATAAGCTTCACCGACTAAATTATCCCTTCTAAACACCTTTTTTCCTTTTTCATTCGAGAAACAACCCTCTGAGTTGCATATCTCAGGCATGCCAAGAGTTGTAAATCTCACAGGCATTCCTGGCATCTGACTGCTTGAGGAAATTAGGCTTCGCCGTGTTAGCACATCTAACATTGATTAGGACTATTCAAGTTGAAAGTAGATATAAGAGAAATATTTCATGTCAAATCAATCATCAACTAAAACTTTTAAGCTTTTCCAAATCAAAGCCAATTCCACAACATTGTAGAAGGTGGTTTAGATCTAGATCTTGTTTTCAACAAATAAATTCGCTAGGAATACTAATAGCCAACTAGCACCCAGGCCGATAACCAGTAAACTATATAGCAAGCAGAACTTACTTCCTTTTTTATAAGATACATAACACTATAACAGTACAACTTTAAATGATTTCTACCACCTCAATCATGAAGTTCTAGCTGGCTTTCACTTTTTTCACAGGATTTAGTAAGTAGAAGATCATTTCCTTTCAAAAGACCAGTTCCCCACGAAGGGGACATCTTGACGATAATTGGACTACATAACCGTGAAACTACACCTTTTGATTCCCCATATATCATATTTAACATTGCAAACAATGACAATGAAGTATGGGGACAGTAGAAGCAAAACCTGCTTTCCTGAGTGCCTCTGAATGCAATAACAATGGCATTAAGATTCTGTGCCACCCCGACATATGCCTGCAATAGGTACCAAGTATTAGATCACAAACTACGGCCTCTTATTAGGAGCACACTTGATTCTGCATAACGTAATACACACCTGTAGGCATCGTTGCACATCAACAATGAGCTCTATAATTTGAAAGCCCTGCTCAGGAAATATAGAAGTATATCATCCAAACAACTTAATAATGAAGGCTTGAACAAACCAACCGTATATGAAAAGCATGGCATGATATTTACACACGGCTTTTCTTTAACATGAGGAATGAGCAGATGAAACAATCCAAATAGATTACCTTAGTTAAATCATTACATCTTGAACATGTCCAGGTAAATAATTCTGTCAAATCTGATACATATACCTGCAAAGGAAAAGGATATTTTTTGGTTATAGTCTAGTTGATAACTGTCAAATAAAAGTCAACAATGTAATGTAGTTACGGCGTCAAATGAGCAACATGCATTGGAAAATGCTGTTCATTAACTATTAAGAGTGCAGAAAACAAAGGACAAGATTTCTAGAGACACGGAAGTTAAAACTACAGAAAAAGCATTTAAAGATCCTAATAGAATACTTAATTCAATTGCATTCTCAACTCAAATAATGAAGCCTCCAAGGCCCTAAATACAGAACTTTTAAACTGTTTTACTAGAGCAAAGACACTTTCTGGCCCCAAAACTACAATAGATTCAGATAGATTTGGAACAAAATCCTACCAAGGTATGTAAGTGTAATCAGAACTTACAGCAGAAGCATATTCCACTAATATGGTGGCAAGCGTATGATTGTAAATAGCTGCATGATGCTTGTTTTTGGCCTTCACATTGAGTTCTACAGCCAAAATAAATGTAAGCTATCTAGAAATTTGTTAAAGGTAGTCAAGCAAGTCCACAATCAGTTTACCATGACAATCATAAAGAGCACAATGTAAGCAGAAAAATACCTTCAAAACATACAGCAGTAAAACATCTTTTAGAATAACTTGGTTACCAACCAAGTTTTAATCAGTTTTCAACGACAGTCATTTTAGATATAAGCAGAAACTAAGAACATACGTCCAAGAAGGCCTGGTATACAATCCCTGCTTGTATTTGGTGGTGCATTTGGAAAGAGAGAAACAAAAGATGTTTTGAAGATGAACAGAATTCTACCTTGCAAGTAAAATCTGATTGTATTATGTTGTTATACTTTTGGTGTAGATTAGATTGGGGAAATGAGGCTGAAACTCTCTTACAGTTCATAGAATCTTTTGCATAGTCCTTTCTTTTTTATTGCTCTCATCTTGCAACTTTTTGGAGGTTGCATTTGACATCAATATTACCATTTCAAAAAAAAAAAAGATCCAACGCCTAAAAGTATAGCATAGCTATCAGTGTTTGTACAAATTACAATCATCTCAAACAGCCCACCACGCCTACTTCAATCTTTTTATTTCCGACTCCCTCTTTTTCAAAATGTCCTAGTTTGGCTTTGCACAGAGATTAAGAGAAATGTTAAAATTTAAATTGTTTAATATTCTTTGGGTCATATATGAATCCTCTGTTATCTATCTTAGGATACTGCAGAAATAGTCATAAATAGAGACTAGTACAACTGGAGCCAATTTCTTTTTTGTTTTTTCCGGGAACTAGGTCCAGTTTTAACTTTTGAAATATAAGTCTTTCGAGGTTCTTAGGAAAAAAACTGTTTTGTAATATGTTGCTTCTTTGAAGTTTTTTCAAAAATTTGTGAAGAAGTACTTTGAGACACTATCAATGACAAAATCTTCTTACACGCGCAAACTTCAAAAAGAAAACGAAAAACTACAACTATTTTTAACACTTTTTTCTTTTGCACTAATAAAAAAAGTAAACATTATTTTGGCAAGGACAAAAAAAAACTGGAAATAGAGGGAGTGAGACCTTTTACTACAAGCTATATCAAAGTTATCCTCATAAGGCCTGGTGCAGTGCGCATTGCAAGTAAGACCAACCCATACCTTTATCTATCAGCTATTATAAAAGCCGCTAAGCACCTGAAGCTGAATACACAAAAATCATAAGCTTGACTTAACTCAGAAGCAAAATTTCCATGCTCCTTCCCATGGAAGGATGACATCTCTTTTTTTAGTTGCTTGATTACATAAAGTTGGATTGCAAAATCAGTCCAAGAAAACTTAATGCAGTTAAGACCTACGAAAGTATCAATCAAACCAATGGTAGCAATTCATTATTATTGCACAACATAAGTATCACTACCAGCTAAAAGTTCAATTAAGCATCGGAAAATAGCCACTTTCAAGTGTATTGCAAAACCATCCAAGAAAACATAGTACACTTAACAGTGGCGGAGCCAAGAAATTATACAAGGGGATTCAAAAAATACTAGAATGCCGCACCTGAGATTTGAACACCTAAAGCAATTTTTGAACCCCCTTGACCACTTTACTAGAATTGTTTCCTTATGTCAGGGGTACTCAACAGCTTAAATGTAACCCAAAAAAATTGTCTTTACCCTACTAGCAGTGTATATTTTTCAACGGACGGGATTCAATTGAACCCCTTTTCCTCAACTTAGCTCCGCTCCTGACACTTAGCAGAGAGTAAACTTAAAACTCAACTCAATAGTATTAACCTCAAAGTTCTTGGAATAATGAATTTACCTCTACTAGTTGAAAAAAAGGTCAATTAGGCATAGGAAAATAGCCACTTTTAATAGGATTGCAAAACCATCCTAGAAAACATGCTACACTTAGCACCTATGAAACTAAAAAATCTATTCAAAGTAGTCATTCATAATTATAATTATATCAAAATCATGATTACCTCTACTAGTTGAAAAGGCAACCAAGCATAGGAAAATAGCGACCTTTAACCAAGTTTTGCCATCCATACCCTGTATGACGATATTCAAAACAAAATAAAAAATAAAAAAAAAGACTTTAGCTAAAAATAAAACACGGGAGATAATTGCATAAGATTCAAATAAACAACACTGAATTCACCTGGAAACTTCTAGAGCTCAATTGGAAGCACCGTTTGAAACAAATTGTTTTTTATTTTGATTTTCTTTTTACTTCCTTCTGACCACCGGCGACGGCGATGATTTGCACGATCAACCGGCGATGATTAGCACGTGTCAACCGGCGATGAATGCAGAATTTAAGGGAGACTAAAAGCGTGGAATGTAGAAAAAGAAGATGGAGAAGGGTCCAAGCTTTTTGGCAGAAAAACGTGAATTGGGTATGACTATAATTGTAATTAATTAGCCGTAGGGAAAGGCCGTGATGCAGTGGCGTACAGAAGCCGATTGTGACTCAGATAGATTGGAACTGATATGGATATAATTGCCGCTAGAGCCGTTTTATTGTTTTTATATTTTGCTGGTATTTTCTTTTAACCACTAAAAACTGTTTTCCCCCTCCAACTTCACTTAATTAGTTAATTACAAGTTTATAACTAACAGTATCATTCATGAATTTTCATCTTTGTCTTAATTTATTTTTGGATCATTTGAATCTCTTTCATCAAAAAATTATAATATATGGGCATAATAAGGCAAAAATAATTTATTTTATTTATATAAATTATTGAATCTTCTTGATATAAGGAAAAATTTAATGTAACAACATAGAGAGTTCAAAATTTGCTTTAGATCACTGCTTCAAATTATATGAGAGAATTTTATTTTTTTTTCTTTTAATCCCTAATTTAATAGTTTGTATTTTTTTGGTTTACTTATTGCTTCTTTGGTAGTCAATTATGGCATGGGTTTTTCCCTCTTTTATATTTTTGCTTTCTTAATTCCTACTGGAATATTGGAATATCCTGCTACTTGTTGTTTTGGTTCCATTTTCAAATTAGTGACTGCTAATTTAGACGTTGATGAATGGAATATGCCAAATTTCCAAGCATTTTATCCTCTTTTATAAAGATGCGGTCGTTAGGTAACCCAAGCATAAAGTACCATTGAATTTGAGTTATTACTTGTATTTTGAGCATTCTCGAGAATTCTTCGTCGGCCTCACCCACTCTTTTGGAAATTCCAACAGATCCTTTTGGTCAGCTATTATTGTTGTTTTTTGTTTTATCATCATCATTATTATGTTGTTATAATTTTTAATATTATTATTATTACAGGTTACTTAGGTATCTACATTGCACGTATTATATATAAGATATAAATTAAATGTACAACATTATAAGATACAAATACCTTTTCCTAAAAACAAAATTCAAATATAAAAGACTTATATTGAAATGGATCTCGAATCAATAAGATAGATAATTTGATTTATGTGCCGGTAGTCATTTTTTGCAATAGAGTGAGCTTAGGACTGCATTTTGTAATAAACAATTGCATTTGATGTTAGACGAAAAAGTAGACTCCTTATACATAACAAAAGCCAAAAGAAAACTATCATAAGGCACATAATCTAACATTCTTAAGCCGCTACCATTCTTAGAAAGAAATCTTTTTCACCATAAAATTTTCAATTTTCATTTGATGATGAATTTTGAAATTTTTCAAAATTTTTAAAAACTCCAAAAGCTATTTTTCAAAATTTTCACTTAAATCACTCGTAAAAATTCAAAAATAACCCAAAATTATATTTATGTCCAAACACAACTCTAATTTTCAAATATCATTTTTACTTTTTCGGAATTTTACGATTGGGAATGTTACACAAATAACCGGCCATATTCAATGTTTATTTTTTTTAGCCGGTATACATAGATTATACATTAATTATATGCAGTTATACATATGTTATACATGAATTATACATGTAGTATACATCCGTCGGCTATTTTTAGTTTAAGAGATCGGGTGGGCGGGTATTTGGGTTAATTCTTCCACTTCCAATCAAGAAGTTGTGAGTTCGAGTCACCCCAAGAGCAAGGTGAGGAGTTCTTGGAGGGAAGGATGCCGAGGGTCTATTGGAAATAACCTCTCTACCTCATGGTAGAGGTAAGGTCTGCGTACACACTACCCTCCCAAACCTCACTAGTGAGATTATACTGGGTTGTTGTTGTTGTTGTTCTTCTTCTTCTTCTTCTTCTTTACGACTCTTACATCCAAACGCCCACGTAAAGTGAAAAAGACAACTGGGCTTGAGCACAATAGAGGCCCAAAAGAGGTTGTGATCCAACCCAAATCAGGTGACTCGGCCCAAAGAATACCGGACCCCAGTCCAAAGGCGGGAAATCACATTTCACCAATAAGTGGCGGGAAGGTCACTTCACAAAAGAAAATATCAATATTCTGAAAAGGTTCCAATTTTGTTGGTCTAGGCGGGTTCACTATAAATACTGAAAACGTATTAGACCGTTTTCGAGTCGGTCCATACTATAGTACCACTTACTTTCCTTTTAAGGTGTTTTTCCTCCAGCAGAGAAAACCCTCAAACTCGCGTTTTGAAGTCGGAGCAGATGGCGAAAAACTCGAGAGCGAAATCCTCGTCGGAGGAGCCATTATCGGACGGTTCCGAGGAGGAGCAAGTCAACGATCAAGTCAACGATGAAGAAGACGAGGAGGAGCTTGAAGCCGTTGCTAGGTCCGCCGATGACTCCGAAGAAGACGACGATGCTCCTGCATCCAACAGAGCCGACGGCGAAGACGACGATAATGAGGTGCGTTTATTGGCCGTTCTCTTTAGGTTTTGGTAATTTTACTTTTTGGAACTGTTATTTTGCAGATCTAAGTTTACATTAGAATTCTTCTTTGGTTTGGTGTTTTTGCTGAAATTGACGAGGAATAATGTTGTGTTACTGACGAATAATGATGTGTTACTGAGTGGATATTTTAAGTAAAGCTTCAAAGCATTAGAAAGGAATGTGAATATGCAACCATTGCAATAGAGCCGTTGTTACTGTTTTTAGCTCATTATTATTAATTAATGCCCGATAATAATGTGCTAATGAATGGATATGTGAAATTTGAGGTGGTGTTGAAATGGCGGAAAGGAATGCAAATGTGAATTTAGAAGCTCCGGTCATTGTTACGAATTAAGGCCCAGTAACTATTCCCCTAGTTAGTAAACATCATAGACTTTCTAGTTTAGAGTTAATATTTCAAGTGAATTTCTGATGGCATAAAGGAAAAGGAAAGAACATTTCATCAAAGAAATAGAAGATCTTGTCCCTGATAAAACATGTGTTGAATAGCTCATTAATATGAATTATTCAATTTGTAGTATCTGTGAAGCTAAAGTGATGATGACTTTTAGCTGATTTAGTGTAGCTTTATGAGAGTTATCTTAAGTTTGTTTTGCTACTACACCTGTAGGAAGATGCTGCAGCTAATGAGATCTCAAAGCGTGAAAAAGCGAGGTTAAAAGAGATGCAGAGGCGTAAGAAGCAAAAGATACAAGATATGTTGGATGCACAGAATGCTGCCATACAAGCTGATATGGTATCTTACTTAGACCAATTGCTGAGAGATTATGGGTTCTCCTCTTTTCAATTAGTTTCTTGTGAAGGTGTGCCTTATGGAAATTTTATCTTTGGCAGAATAACAAGGGAAAGGGGCGTCTGAAGTATCTTTTGGAGCAAACAGAGTTGTTTGCACATTTTGCAAAAACTGACCAGTCTACTCCAGAAAAGAAGGCAAAAGGAAGGTACGTGTAATGCAGTTTTTGTTTCTTTATATGCAGGGACTTCAGTTTGAGAGCTGTCTTGCTAGTGTGATTTTGGAGACCTGTTAGTAGATTTGGGATTCAGGTATTTTTGAGCCGTGCACCTTTTTAGCTGTTAGCGCTCAGGAAATAGAATGGGATAAAAGGAAGAAGGTTTACGTATATGGATCCATTCTTGTTTGGTAGGTTTAGTCGGCAAGTTGAAATCAACACATCCTAAATATTTTTGCTGTTTGTGTAACTTGGTAAGGAAGATTCACTTTTTTCGTTTGGTTTTCAAGTAGCCACCTCCTCTTGAAATGGTGACTAGGGATTGTTGTCTCTACTCTTACTACAGTTAGGGCAGGCTTACTCCCAAAAATAATAGTGGTCGTATTCTGCTTATTTTACAATTGACTGCTATATATTGTTATAGATGATTACATGATTGGACCTGATCCCTTCCAGTTGATATTTCTATGTTATATATATGGAGAAGCTTGCTTCATTAATGTGATTTACTGCTTTACTTGCATATATGCATGATTGTCTTCTGTATGAACCCACTGATTAAACTTTTTCTTCAGGGGTCGTCATGCATCAAAGATGACTGAAGAGGAAGAAGATGAAGAGTATCTCAAAGAAGAAGAGGGTGGGCTTGGAAATACACGGCTAGTGGCTCAGCCCTCTTGTAAGGACTTCCCCTGTATTTTAGCTTCTTGCTTTATACTGTATGTTTCAGCACAAGTATATTTATAGTATGAAACCTCTACCGGACTGTCTCAGAAATGCTTAGATCAGATGTAACCAGAATTGTTAATGTCCTATATGATCGAATATGTCCCTCCTTTCTAGAGATTTAAAATGTCTGGTTTAGTAATTCCCTTTATCATCCTTCTCTTTTATGATTTAGCCATTTATATATATCTAAATCCTACTCAACTTGAAAAAAATGTTATTTCAACCGTGCCTACAAAGTATAAACAGTACTTATAAGAATAGTGATTTCAATAATCTATTTGAGTAAGTTTTGTTTGATAAGGTTAGATAATCTCCTCAAACTTTACTTTGCCCTTTTGAAGTTAATTTGTAAATCTTTGGATTTCTCTGCTAATTGAGAAATATTTGTCTTACTCTGGGGAATTTAGTAAGCCTAGAGCCTGCAAGTTGTGTTATTGGCTAGGTAAATTTCAATCTCATTCCTGTACCACCAACTAAAGCAATCTAGATATTAGGTACCGTTGGCTTAGATTTTGGGAATGTTCCTACTATGTTAGATGTAATGTGCTTGGTTTAAGTTCTAGAGGTGCATCCATAGTTTAGTTTGCTGCATTGAAGGCATTATATATGTTTGAGGGTAATACGGTTAGGTTATATGAGTATGTGTGTGGAGTTTCAAAGAACTTAAGTCCCTTCTCCATGGCTGTATCTAATCAGCATTTTCTAAAACTGTGTAATCTTTACTTTGTATGAAGTTGCCAAGGAATAAATGAAGCTTAGGAACAATGGATCTCCTTAAATGTGTCCCCTATTGAATAGCTTAAGCTTTTAGATGAGGTGGTTGACACAATTCAATATAGTATTGGAGCATGTAGAGGTCCGTCCCGAGTTCGAGTCTGCTGCCATTTATCAAAAACAATTCCATGTTCTTGACCTAGGAGAAAAGAATTGGGCCTACATCGAAGAGGCGTGTAGCAGATCTAAAATAATTCAATAAGTGTGTC